TCACTTTTGTGCATGTAAGTACTACTTTTGTGTACAGAAGTACCACTTTTGTAAACAGAGGTAACACTTTTATCCACTTAGGTACCATTTTTGTGCAAATCAAGTAATTGAAATGGTCTGCACAAAAAGTAGTACTTTTGTGCACAATACCTCTATGCACAAGAGTAATACTTAATAGCTAATCCTAATTAGCTAGGGCTAACTATTCATATATAAGCAGTCCCAACTCGATACCATAGGGGTTTGGATTGCATTTATTTATTATAAAGAGAGTTAATGATATTAAAAACATAATATGTTTCACAAGTTCATGACTTGACCTGAATCATTCAATAACAATCGAAACAAAGTTTGAAGTCACCTACTTGAACTCTCCTTGAACCAAATTATCCCTAGGTCAACTTATTTTGATTCCTTGCGCCTTGTAATAGAAAAATTTTAGAAAGACCTAATAGGTCGGTCAAAATTAATGACCTAATAATTTATATTCCTTTAAGGCAATGAAATTTTAGGTCAAATTATCTATATGTGAACTTAATTCAATTCATTACATTTTGTAGATTTGTACTAAGAAAAATATTAAAAAGACCCAAGGGTCGGCTAAAATTGATGACCTAATCATTTATATTCCTTGAATGCAATAAAATTCGACCGGCCATAGTGGTTGACTTTTTAGGTTTGAATAGCATAATTTCTGTTCTTAATTTGTCAAGTGGACAGTTTTATAAAAACAAAATTTGTTACTTACAGACATATACTTCCACTTCAACACTCTTTTAAAATTTCAAGCAATTTGACGATAAGAATCTTATATGAAAGTTTGATGTGTGAAACCATTTTTCTCATTTTCACCAGACCTTGGTTGCACCAAAAATTTCAAGGAACCATAGGTCAAAAGATAATGACACTTGAGGGTGACACCAAGCTTGAATACTCCTCTGGGCCAATGGTGGGTCCCATAAAGCTCAACTTAGTTCTTTTTAATGTTTGGAATCTTGTTGTACATGATTGATCGGGATAATAAAAAAAAAAAAAAAAATGGAGTCCCTTGTATTGTATACACACACAATATATAGATATATAATTAGAGATTGTCATTTATCTGGAATCTTGTTTCATTGTTGGCCACAACACTCTTCTAGTGGGTGGAGGAAGAAAAAGCTGTAATCTGTCTGTATGAGAGAGATGATCACTTATTTTCAACACTTTCACATTTTGGGATCCATTTTTTTTCTTTTACTTGACCCAAGAGAGTGACTACAGAAATTTGAAAATGAAAGAAAGCTGGTATTAGTGTGTGTGTGTGTGTGAGAGAGAGAGAGAGAGAGAGAGAGATGGTACCTATTGTCAACACTACATTTTGAGTTGGATCCTCCTTTTTTTATTTGACAGCATCTAGAAGTTGGTGTTGGTTCAAATCAATTGCTCTCACTTATCTGCAAATACTCACAATGATCAATAATGAGCAATCAAAATGCCTTTGCAGATTGTATTTAACAGATTTAAGTGGTGAGTGTGAAACTTTGATTTAATATCTCTACAGAAAAAGGATGACAACTTTTTAGCCTTCAAGAAGAAGAAAGCTACTTTCTGTTAAGGACAAACACACATATATATATCATTGCAACTTGCCATTTTTATTTTTTAGTGCATGATTTGGGTGATAGAGACTGAGGCCTAACACTACACTCTTCTGTGTTTATGTTCACATTAGTAGATGCTCTTTGATTTCAGTGTCCAGTCATGTCTATATAACCATAAAAAATTGAAAGGCTAAATAACATCAGAAAGTGAATTTATCATTCAAAACACAGCTCTTATGAGGCCACTAACCTCACATTCTTTTGTGTTTATGTTTACATTTAGTAGGTGCCCTGTGATTTCAGTGTCAAGTCGTGTCCCACATGTCCCATAAAAATTGGAAGGTTAACATCAGAAGTCAAAATGGGAGGTTATGAAATAATTGACATGACAACATAGCAACAACTGGCATAACCTTAGTTGCTTATTGTAAAGGAGAGGTATACTTAGGTTTTGTTTGCAAACCTAAATACACAGCCCATTAGTGTGCTTAGCCCAAAATCACTCTTATTCAGGCAAATATCCATACTAAATTAGTACTGTTGTATGCAAAAATTTTAGGCAACGTAAAGAAATAAACAACCAATTCCAATAAGGAATACAGATTGGAAAGCACAAAAACACAAAATCTTTTAACATTAGCACAACAGTAATAACAACCAAGCATTTTCCCAATTACTGTCGACTACATGAATCCAATGTTTCCGTTCCGCTCTATTTAAGGCCATAAACTCAATCAATCCACATGTTATCGTATCTTTCTTTACTAACTATACTCACATTAAGTTTGGTCTTCCTCTTCCCTTAGTGTTACCCTCAGTGTGGATTATGACACTTTTCCTAACCAGAACACTTGAAGGCCTTCTTGCACATCTCCAAACCATCTTATAACTGATTTCCCATCATTTTATCAATAGCTTCAACATTCATAAACAACTCTTTAACATCCCAAAAACCAACAATCAAGATGTGAAGTCTCCAAAATCCATAACAATAGCATAAAAACATGAAATTATCACGTCATCACAACTATAAAACAATTACAATCTTCAACATTCACAATCAACCACTAAAGGAAATATCCATTATCCCAACAAGAGAAGTCTAGTAGCAGCTCAAAATGAGAAAACACCCGAATTCCAAAAAAGCAGAAATCCAAGCTCCAAGAAACTTCTTTGTACCATCTCCTTAATTCCACAGATGTTCAATTAGAATTTACATCATTTAGTACTTAACAAATCAGCAAATAATAAAAGCCATCAACAATTTTATCATTTACAGTGAAATTTGAGAGGCATAACAATTGAAGATACAGACACAAATTCAATGTCCTTACACTTCAATTATGACCAAAAAATATATAAAATGGCATTACACAATTCTGGTTCCATCACAGCAAGGTCATGGGAAGAAATAACTCGAGAAAACCTAACCTTTGGTATGTTAGAACCACATGAGATAAAGACTTATTTCTTTTCCTAAATATACCTGTTCCATTTCCAACCTTCCCTTGCATCCAATCCTCCATCCTTCGTACCAAACAGACTGTAAGAGAATCTTTTCCAGCCACAAACAAAAGATCCAATTCAGTGATTCAAAACATCCATTGACAGAGTGGGTCTTTTTCTCACGTATCTTCGGATGTGACCTTGGAGATTTTGACAGGGTGGCCCATGTAAATTCAAGTTGATTCAAGAGAGGGGTGGAGAGATTCTTTCCCCACCTAGTTAATCGACTTTATCTTACACTCATTGTATGCCTGTTGGCATTATTGTATTCCATCAATAAAATTCCTTTCTTATGGGAAAAAGAAAGGTGATGAGATTCTTCAAACTTAACCAACATGTTCATATACACCTTGGAATATACCGAAATCTACAATAAAATGTTAATTACCAAAAAAGAAAAAAGAAAATATTGGAGTCCCTAATTTCTTCAAAAACCTTTCCAAACCCCAAGTAAACTAAATATTCATCAAGGTTATGACCACCAGGGAGATACATGCCTAGCTAGTAGCGACCCACAACTCAGCATTGCTAGATATCAACAATATTAAGTTAGTAACATGTTATAGTCTATTCCCCAAATAAATAAATAGAGCGACAGATGCAAGATAAAAGCAAGATGATGCAGATTCAGAAGCGAGATTAGAGTTCGTCAGCACCAAAATATTATGTATTTCTGGAGTTATTGAAAACAAATTAAATAAATCAAATAAAAATTAGCATGTACAGAGGAAAAAAAAAAACCTTGATTAAAGACTATCCAAAATGAGACCAACTGTTTGCAGTATTCAGAATATTCATTAAAATTTCAACTAACAGAAGAAATTGGCTTTCATTCATGAATGGACAAGAGCAAGTCAGTAATTAATAGAATTATGTAATATTGTTAAAAAACATTATATTAATGATCCTATTTTTGCCTCAAGTATACTAACTCATAAGCAGCAATAAAAGTTACCTTCTTTGGAGCCTCTCATGCAATGTTTTTTCTCCACTAATATCCAGAAAGGAACATGTTCACTCAAGCTTTCTGATCTGCAAATTGTGAACTAAAAATTAGTGTGATTGCATGACCTTTTCAGTCATCTTATTCAGTGCATTTTTCTCCAAAACAATCTCAAAGTCTTTTGAAAAGCATTTAACTAAAACTTAATTGCTGGGATCATCAACTCATTTTGAGTAGCATAATCAAATTTACTAGTCCCATTAGGCATCAACGGAGAATAAATGAACCCCACAAGCACCTCACTAGATTGCTACAACAAGTGAAGGTGCTAACAACTTGGTAATGTCATGCAAGAGACCTGGATACAAATCTTCCTTACATTTCAAACATCATTGTAATGTGGTGATGACAGTTGTCATTTTCATGGCACAAGTTCTTGGGATGTGAACCAGTTGAATTTAGTTCAGTATACATAAATCTCTCTATTTCTACCTACTAATATATGTCATACAGATTAGAAAGACAGCCTGAGACCATTTTATCAAACAAGGCATGAAACATGATATGTAGAAAGTTTAAAACATACTTTGTGGTGTCGTAAACAGAGAGACAATAGATGTGAACTACAACATGTACATCATGGAGAAACATAACTAAAATGTAAAACAACAATGTTAATGCCCAATAAATTCCCATTTTTGTTTCTAATGCATGTTTCTGACAATTGTCTACAATTAATGATGGAAGTGTAAGCATTTTTTTTCCCTCATGAGTGAAGTGTAAGTGTTACTTCAAAGAGAATAAGTTCTGGAGTACATGTTTCATTATATTTTCATAAATAATAACTGATACTATCAACAACTAAAACTAAAAATAAAAAAATGTATCCTGAAAAGAAAGTTTTCGTACATTACAAGCATCAGTCGCCATGAAGAGAGGAAGTTAAGTCAAATTATCCACATCTTGAATTAGTTCTGGAACACATATTTCATTATATTTTCATAAATAATAAATTGATACTATCAACTAAAATTAAAAATTTAAAAATGTATCCGGACAAGAAAGTTTTCGCACATTACAAGCAACAGTCGCCATGCAGAGAGGAAGTGAAGTGAAATCATTCACATCTTGAATCACTGTATCAATCTGCATTATCCAAATCATGAATCAAAAAGTTCTCAATTTGCACAATCAAGAAGTTCTAAATTAGTATCATATTCTAAACTCTTTATTTCCTCCAGCAATTCTCCCAACACCTGGTAAATCTCTTTGCAGTAAGGGTGAGAATGATCTTCTGCATTAAAAGCATGCACCTCATTCTTAACTTCTATCCAACTGCAACCAGGTACCTTCCTAACCCTCCTCTCCCTCATTAACCTCTTTACACTAGCTTTTTCATCCCACCTCCTAAGATGCCCATATATGTTAGAGAGGAGAACATAAGTACAGTGCTCTTCAGGCTCTATTTCTAGCAAACGCCTTGCTACTTTAGTTGCCAATTCAATATCACCACAAATTCTACAGGCACCCAATAAAGTTTTCCATACCATTGCATCAGGTTCAAATGGCATTGCTTCAACCAAGGCTTTTGCCTTGTCTAAGCATCCAGCCCGCCCAAATAGATCAATCCCACAAGCATAATGCTCCATTCGGAGAGGAATTCCATATTCAGATTCCATTGAGTTTAGAAAATTGCTGCCTTCTTCTACCAAGCCAATATGGCTACACGCAGTTAGAACTGCAACAAACGTTATATGATCCAGCTTCACATTTCTCTCTCTCATTAGGAAGAAGAGTTCCAGTGCCGATTTACCTTGCCCGTGTTGTGCATACCCAAAAATGATCGAGTTCCAAGTGATTGAGCTGTCTTTAGTGGTTGCTTCAAAGGATTTCCTAGAGTCTTCAAGAATCCCACATTTGGAATACATATATATCAAAGAGCTGGCTACAAAATCATTTGGCTCCAATCTTGATTTTAGTGCCAAGGCATGAACTTGTTGACCCAAACGGAGGGTTGCCAGATCTGAGCAAGATCTAAGAACAGCAGAAATAGCATACTGATCAATCTCTAGAGGACCAGATCGCATTTGCCTAAAGAACTTCAATACATGTTCACTCAGCCCATATTGTGAGAATCCATTCAAAATTGAATTCCATGAAACACGATCCTTAACCTCCATGGATTCAAATATTTCTATCGCGTCTTCCATGTATTTGCTATTTGATTTGAGATACATGGCAATCAATGAATTAGAGATTGATGTTGATTGTTCCAATCCCCCCTTAATTACCAAAGCATGAAAAGATTTACCTTGGTTTGGATGTGCTTCTTCAAAACAAGCACTTATTATACTAGTGTATGTATAGATATCTGGCTCAATGCCAAGCCCTTGCATCTCTAGGAAGAGTTTAAATGCAAGGGCTCCTTGATCATGTGCAAGATAAGCCGCTAGCATGGAATTCCATGTGACCAAGTCTCGGGTGCCAATAGCAGCGTCAAACACTTGCTTGGCATCTTCAATGGACCCACACTCTGAATATGCAGTAATTGTGGCATTGCATACAGTGTTATCAGATACCAGCCCATGCTTTATAATTTTAGCATGGACCTGCATTGTTAGTTTGTAAAACTCAGGGTCATCAAGCAATGTCAAAAGCGAAGCAAATGTGGCATCATCAATTCCCGCACCTTCCTGCTCCATACAATCTAGTAACCAAAAAGAAGTCTCGCGATCACCTACTTTTGCATACCCGGCAATCAGGGCATTCCACGAGACAGAGTTCCGTTCTGGCATCCGCTGAAACACTATATGGGCATCTTCAACTCTATCACACTTCGCATACATGTCTAAAAGAGCACTTGCTGAATACACATTTCCCCCATAGCCAGCCTTAAGAACGATCGAATGCGCTTGCTGCCCGAGCTCAACAAACCCCACATATGCAACACCTTTAAGTATGCTTCCGAATGTATGATCATCAACAGCAAACCCGCATCTTTTCATGGTTTTTAAAGTCTCCCAAGCACTCTCGAATTTCCCACGGTTTACATACCCGCTGATCATCGAGTTCCAAGACACAGTATCTCTGTCCGGAATTTCGTCGAACACCTGGTGAGCAATGCCTAACTTTCCACATTTCGCGTAGCCACTTAAGATATTGTTGGCTGTATAAGTATCTGTGATGGTTCCTAATTTGATTGCCCGACAATGGGTTACCGAAACCTTGGCCAAATAGGCCACAGAGTTTCCAATGAGCGAACGCGTTGACCTCATTCTTTTCTTTTCTTTTTTGCAACAATGGCCTCATTCATGAGTAACTACCATAACTGTTTTCACTATATGTGTGTGTGTGTATAAATATATATGTATATATGAACAGAAGCAGAAGTACTTGTTCTTCACCACCCAATAGTATATAAAGCATGTAAATTTCTCAGTCAGACTGTTGTTTTTGAAGAAACCAAAACCAAACGGATCCATTTTTTTATTCCTGGTGAGCTACTATAGTTCTATTAATATATCTAACTTCATGTTCTCAGAGGCAGAGACGCATCTTATTTCTTGAATAAAATACTAGTAATTATGTTCAATCTGAAAAAATACGTTTAAAAAATAAAATTGAAAAAAATTATAAAGTAAAATATTTTCCTCTATAGTGTAGAGTACGTATAAGAAGATTGTTATAAATTAGAAGTATTTCATAAATTCTAAGCTCTATTAATAGTGAAAAGTGAAAGTGAAGAGACCAAAAGAAAAATAAATTTTTTATTTTGTATTTTATTAAGATAAAATTTTCTTAAAAAAAATTATCATTTATGTTTTTCAGTAAGAACCATTTATGGTTTGAATAACATAAACTCAAGTTAATAATTTTTTTTTTCAATAAATTAAAAATTCTGTATGTTAAGTGGTTATAAAAAGTAATTTTTTCTCAAAAAAAATTATTTCATGCTAACCAAACTTATAAAGTGGTTGAGAAATTTTTTATTTCTTATTATTTTCTTTTTTTCATTTTTTAGTATTCCTATCTAACCAAATCAAGCATAATTATATAAAATGAGAGAAATAATAGTAGTGATCTTGGTTGCTTTTTTTTAATATTTAAGTTTCCCTTCAACAACTATCAAGTATCAAGCCAATCTTCCACTTGTTGTCAAGAAGAGTTGGGTTACTAAAAAAAAGCTCAATCTTCAATTCAGTATTGAAATAGCTGTCAATTCTCTTTATTAACTATTTAATTGAAGGTATTATTTATTGACTAAATTGACAGAGTGTTCAATTCCGTTTATATTTGAGTCATTATTTTTTTAATTTGTCAAAACTAAAATAAAATAAAATAAATCCTACTTATCAATGACAAGTCAAAAGAATAGATGAAACATTAGAAGTACATCTCTCTCCAATTTGTCCTTACCCTGTCAAGTATTAAAATTGACCTTATTTCACTTTGTACCTAAAATTTCACATCCAAGAACATGGTGTATATAGTTTGCTACGTTACTTCTCGTGAATAAATGACATGATGGAGCAACATTACAATAATTTATTTATATTAAATTGCTTAAAGTACTTTTTCTCATGAGACTGAGGATGGCAAAGGGGCAATTTTGGGCTGGTAAACCGTCCCGTCCTCGCAATAGTTTAGAAATTCCCTCTTCATTTTCGTCTAAAATTGTCTAAAATTGCCTAAATGGGGGGCCTTTCCGTCCCATCCCCGCCCTCTTTTAGCTTTTTTACTCCGGCGGGTACCCGCCCTCCCCCATTTAGTTCCATAATTTCTCCACATTTTTAATTTTTTTTCCTCAAATACAAGTGTATAACTATTGAAAAAATTCTTAAAAAATGGGCAATATAAAATTCAAGGGTATAAGCGTTCTTAGTTTGTAGATTCTCTAGAATGGCTGAGAAATTGAATGAATGTGACCTAGGATTTCTAGAGCTAATTATATATACTCATAAAATAAAGGTAATTTAATAATTTACTTACCTAAATGGAGCAGGGCGAAGTGACCTCCCCCGCCCCGAACTCGCACGAGTTTTCATTAATAAAAATTATTCCCATCCCAATAAGCTAAACAATTCTCCAAAATCACTATAAATAGGGCGAGTACATATCCCCGTGGAGCAAATTGCTGTTGTAAATTTACTTAATCTTTTGCTATTTCAATAACAAAATAACCTAGGTAAAAAAATCCAAACCAAACAATTATTTTTTGCTATTTTTGCCCCCATATAGTCATTAGTCACCATATATATATATATTTTTCATCCACTATTAGTGACTGAACAAGATTGCCTAATCTGCCCTTCATCACCTGTCTTCACTTCGATGCTAACCAGCTTCAAGAACGACTGAGCCCAACTCTGGAAAAAAATTCCCTGGTCATTTGCCAAGTCCACAACTTTGGTTCTCGTTCTTGCATCATTAGCCAGAACCGAGTCGGATTGGAAGAGGCCTTTGTGTGCTAAGAGATCCTTGTAGTATTGGTTGTCAAAGAGCTGAGGTGTGTCTGGATCATTGTTCACTGTCACTGAGGCACTTGCACCTACTGGACACTGTTTTGTGAGCTGTGCTGCATATTGTCCGTCTAAGGTTGCATCAATCAGGCTAAGGTTTCCGGTCGAGTCGGCCTTGAATCTATCGCTGAATGCACTGCAATGGGCTGATCCTATGGTGTGAGCTCCTGCAAAGCAACAAAAAAATATATGCTTTAATGTTCTTGAAATGTCAGATGATATCACCGACTGATTAAATACTGATACTGTGATACACAGCATGATATGATTCATTAAATTTGAAGTAAATGATACAAGTTATAATATATTATTGACATCGTGATAGAGAAATCCTTAGTATTATATAGAGAAATCACCATAATTACAAAGAGTGTCGTTGTAAGTAATAATAATAGGTTTAAATTAACCAAATTAATGTCAAATTGAAATATTTTAAACTAGAGTTAATTAAAGAAAATAAAAATGAAGTGAACCCTGCTTAAAACAACTGATTGGATTCAAAAGAACATGTAGAAGTTGTACCCTATGGTGAAGTGATGAAGGTCGGTTTCTTGAAATCCAGAGTACAGCCCATAATAAATTGCGTGCGTGAAGATGGATGAATTGACAGATAAAGGAATATTGAATGTGACTTCAATGCATGCATTGCTGTCACTGACACTTTAATCTGAATTTATCACATCGACACCACCATACGCCCTCTCATTCATAATTCATTCAATGAAAAAGACTATATATATATATATATATATATATGTAGTTTACACTTACACAGTATCGTCTTATCAGTATTTATGCCACAGTTTCTTGGCAACATGCCTCGAAAGAGTAATGTCACACATGCCCACCATCTCACCCGTTTAATGGATGTGGTCTAATACTTTGAGAAGTCAATTTATGAACTTGTTCAAAATTTCTTTCATATTTTATATACACATAACCAAAAAATTATAGTAATGCTATGCAAATAGCTTACAACATTAATATATACATAGGTGTTGAAAATTTTAGGGTAAATTACATACGAATAGATCATTATTACTTTTACCTATCTCAAAATATTTAATGTATTGGACCTTTTGAATAACAGTCAAGAAGATCTTAATTGAACATTTTCAGGTATTGAGCATTCTAGAAAAGCAGTTCGTAACTGATTTATTGTAAAACAAGTTTTAAATCCAATGGGTTTATTTCTTTTTTAGATCAAAATGAATTTTGAATCTTTAGCACAATCTATTTATTGGGGATGATAGCCAAGAAGTGATTTTGAGCGTGAAAAATCAATAATACTTTTATATTATAAAAAATTATTATATTGCATTTATATTAGTAGATCTGTTAATGGCTTCCAAGGCTAAGAATACGTTTACAGTTTACCTAAAATATTGATGGTCGACCAAAAAAATATTGTTATTGCAGAATCACAGTGTTCTAATGAATCAATACTTGGGAATGTTGAAATCAAGTAATTTACAATACCCAATAAGCATCAGTTGCTTATTAAAAATAATAAGTATTAAACAATCAACTCGTAGGTAGGGAATTAAATGTCGGTGTAGTTTACTCAAAATTGAACATAGGTCAAAGTTACATGTACCATTATGAACTCAATATTTTAAACATTATGAGTTCATGTTTAGTATTTACATGACAATTAGTTAGCTAATTAAATATATTGTATGTACCTGAGAGGATAACAAGATCATCCACAGACAACCCTTTGGAGGAGAAGATGTTGATCATCTCATCTAATGTGAAGCTTGTGTCCACTATGTTTGGCCTCACATTCGAAACTTCAGATACCATCCCATCTCTCCTCCCCGTCGGAATCTCAACCGCTGGTCCACCGGTCTGCATGTTTTGCGGAACATAATTGATCATAAAAAAAAAAAAAAATGAGTTTTAAAAGAATTTTCTTGTATTTTAAATATAATTAAATACAATGAGAGTGTGTGTGTGTGTGTGTGTGTATATATATATATATATATATATATATATATATATATGAGTAATTTACTAATTGAACAGCATCTCTTGCAGCCAAAGCAAGAATATCAGCACAAGAAACAACGCCTGGACAAAATATTTCGAGCACTCTTTTGGCAGAATCTATTACTGAATATCCTCCGAGAGATGCGTTTGCCGGATCACTTCTCTCCGTCCCATTTCCTTGTATAAGCACAGATGCATCACAACCCTATTTTAAACAACATCACACACCATGCATGCATGTTAGAGCTAGCTACTACTTTAATTTATATATATATACATATATATATATATGTATATATATTTCTCTCTCAAGTCTCAAGAGAGATGGAAGACTGGTCACCTGGACGAAGCAGTCATGGAAGAGCAAGCGAAGAAGCTTTCCGGGGAGCGTTGGGTCGAAAGAGGAAGCTGATCTAACTGTGTTTTTAACCATCATTTCAGCTGTTGGGCACGAAGCTGCATAGAAGTTTAAGGAGAGGTCGAAAGAAGAAGAAGAAGAAGGTGTAGACAACAACATAACAAGTAGTAGTAACACAAGGTTACAGAGATGAGATGTTGGATTATTAAAAAGTATTACTAGTTTTTGCTCCATAAGGGAACATCAGTAATATATGCTGTTTATGTGCAATGTCTGCTCCTTTATTCAGTCTCTCTCTCTCTTAAACTTCACTTGACATGTGACCAGTTTTTTGAGAGAGAGTTGAAAGAGGTGCTTCACCGTGTATACATAATTAAAGCTAGGTGTGCATTTATTTTGGTTTGGTAATGGCAGGAGGTGGATGGGTTTGTTTAGTCATCCACATGTTGTCAGTGTGGAAGAAGACTGTGGAAGAAGACGAGTGCTAGCTATGCCCGATGCTCTCATCCACTGTCAGAGAGACTCATTAATGACCCTTAATTCTTGATTAACCAAAAGCTCTAATTTGGTCAACGAGCTCTACTTGATATAATTTATGTGAAGTATGATAGCTGTTGTGGTGTTAGCTATTTGCTTTGTGAGACACCGGCTAGTCAACTATGTTGCTATCGGCATCTCATGCTTTGTGTAACATTAGTCATTCGACTAGGGTTGCAATGATAGTACTTTTAAGTGAATATTCTAATTTCTTAATATTTATAAGTTAAATTTTAGAGTAATGCTATCAAGAGAACTCTTTCTTGACAAGAGTCAAAAACTTTTCACGTTTCACTATTGAATTGAAACATTTTTTTGAATTCACGATTGTAACATCTTGAGTTACACGAACTGAATCCCTCAACCCTAACCCAACATGATTAAGTGAACGGATTAATCGCGTTAACCCATTTATAATCCAAATCAGTTTAAAATCAACCCAAACCCACTTATCTCATACTGTGTTGACAGATCATGTTGTAATTTGCCACATAGGTAAGAGTTGAATCTTATTGTAAGTAGAAAACCTAACAAATGCAAAACAATACGCCCAATTAATAATAATGAGATGTTATCATGTGTGACCCGCATGACCAATCTTATACATATATTGCAAAAATTAGCATCATATCCATGTCTCAATAATTGGCCATTGTTAAAAGGAATATTTTAAAGGCAAAACAAGCCTCTGATTCAAGCCGGATGATTAATGGGGAATAAAGGAGCGACCTGAATGTAGAGTTTGGAAGCATACTACTACTACTAATACCTTGATAATTATCATATGTACAACCATATATAATAATATCAAGTAGCTGTCAAAATTTAAGCCATCTCTTCTCTTTTTCTTTGCTGACAACAGCATTTGATGCAGATGCATGGGCTGCCTCAGCCTCCGCCAAAGCTTTGCGCGTCTCATTCAGTTTCCTCATAGCAGCCTCGTAAACCACCTTCTCTTTCCTGTTTCGGTTCACCATTTCTTCCAGCTTCCCGACTTGAGTTTTCAGCCCCTTCACCTCATCATCGTAAGCAACAAGGGCCCGTCTGTCTTGTTTCTTCTCCTCCCTGGAACCTTTATTCTGCTGCTTCTTTGCTGACCCGTTACTCAGAGCTTCACCATGCATTGCAAGCTGAGAATTAATAAGACTAAAGACGTCCGGTTGCAATTCCTCTTCCTCTTTGGCAGCCCTTGCTGCTGCTGCAAACTTCTTATCACGTTTTCTCTTCCCACCTCTGCTCCGTTTCTTCCCACTGTTATTTTTGTTCTCTTTGTTATCCTGAGACCCGAGGGCATGATCAAGAGATTGCTTTGGTGGAAGGACTTTCACGGAGATGGGATCCAGCATTCCCTGTCCGGATACACCTAAACCCATTCCTTCACGGTAGCCCATATTGGCCATGATCTTGGATGCTATGCCCCGGGTGTGATTCTCCCACTTCGAGAAAATGGCTGTTTCAGTCTGGATGCCCCTTTGCAAGGCAGAGCTATCAAGAAATCCTAAGCCTTGGGAGCCATCTTCTTCATCGTCACTGGAATGATCAGACTGTTCCGAACTTGAATCATATTCTTCTTCTTCACTCATTTGGGCATATTCAGACAGTGCAAGACCTTCAACCCCAAGCTGTGAATAACTTCCATCGTCTCGAAAAACAACCTGCCCCACTTTAAGCTCGTCATCCCAGGATTCCAGTTCAGCTTCCTTCCAAATGCCAGCTTTGATATCGGAAATTGCCCAAATACTGGACCCCACAAGCGAATGCTCCCATGTGGTGGGTACATACTTCTTCAGAGAAGATAATGGTGCATCAATCCCTGGTGCAAGAATAGCTCTTCGTCATTCTGAGAAGATTTTCAGAACCCATAGTAGCAACAAAAAAACCTACTTAGGCTACTTTAGCATTCAGAATAAGCTTCTTATTAAACACAACTAATTCAGGAACTGAAAAATACAACAGAGAACACGGGAAGAATCAAAGAAATATACCTTATGTAATTATAAGACAACCTAAAGGTGCATTAGCTGAATGGAAAAGTAGTCTTGGAATGACTAAGTCCTATTTTTTTTTCTCGGTGGGAGCAAAAGAAGATTATTACCATAAATGTCCTTTGATTGTCCAAACAAAAAGAAAGTAATCTCTCTATGTTTTCTTGGAATGATGTAGCCATTCTTTTTCTAGGGATATTCACATTTGTCTCATATCATGCAAACTTTCCAGACACAGATAAATTTGACCAGTGAGAGGTTTCTGAAACCCATAAGACTAGGTCTATTTTTGGGGTATTAATAGATATAATTGCAACATACCATGTGATAAGCGGCAGTTAGTACCAAATCGACATCGCTGCTGCAGAAAGAACTTGCATATCTGCACTTGGGTGGTCTAGCATTAGTAAATTGATGCTACTAAAACCATATGATTCAATGAGTCTACAACAATCTGATCAATAAAACTTTTAGTGATGCCAAACTCGTGTAAGCCTGCTTGAGAATGCAGCAAGCAATATAAATCTTCCTAGTACTTCAACCAGAGAGAAGGGAAAACAAAATAGGTATATGATATCTACAATCCACTTTTGTACTCCATTTTTTTTTGATAAATAAGCAATTCATTAAAAGCGTTCAAAAGGGGAACGCGTCCCTACACAACCACAAAAACCTGGGTACCCTAAGGCCCCAGGGAAGCCAAAAACTCAACAGTCTCCTCAGCAATCCACTCAACAATCCACTTTTGTACTCCTACACTCCATTATTGCCTTTTTTTCAATAAATGAAATGACACAATTGTCCTCAAAGAGGAGTGTAAGAGTACTTTTAGCTTTTCAAGGACAATTACATCATTTCTTCTATTTAAAAAGCAAGTGGAGTGTGAACGTACAAAATTGAAGTGCAAATATAATATTATATATATATATATATATATATATATATATATATATATGTCTCTTTGGACAGCTGTATAAGAACTACATATAACATTTAATGAGTACATAAGTGATGTAGTTTGAAGAATATAGTTTCATTACAAGATGTTATAATGGATTGGATTGTGGGTAGAAAGCCATAAACTCCAAGAAAACCATAGATCAAGAGGGATGAATCTTTTGTTTAGCAAAGTCTTTTGGTGCAGTGAGATTTGAGATTCCACAAAACTCTAGTATGATTATTTTGTTCTAGTGGCTTGAAATGCCTCGGCCTCTCTCTTCTATTTTGTCTATAACTTAACACATCCACATACCAACTTTTCACTGAAAACCCTTAATGCTTCATTTCAAATTCAAAATTCTACTTTAACTAGCTCATGTTTGGTAAAGGGCAGAGGCAGCCATATTACTCAATCATAGGAATTGTGCGGCATTAAATTTGGTATTAGAGCTTTCCTGCATCATAAGCATGAAATATTTGATAGAACCAACTATTACAAACTCATTGGTTTTGTCATTATCATAGCAGAAAAATATAGTTGGCAGTTTCAAAACGATTCCAACAAGATGTGCAAAAGTTTCCATTTTTTTTTTTTTTTTGATAAGTAAAATTGTAATAGAAAACAAAAGTTTCCATTTTAAAGGCAATCAAAGTAAAACTAAGGACTTGTCAAAACTACATGGCTTCGACCAAAATAACTCAAATATTATCAGTACTCTCCAAAACCTTTTAAAACTTCTCAAAACTTATCAAAACTCACCACTTTAGTCTTTATTCACCGAATAAATATCAATATTATCTAAAAATTTATGTCAATCATCTTAACATTAAATTAGGGGTCCACATTTCAAAATAAAATAATCAATATGAGCCTATCCAAAAAAGTATCACACTATTTATAGAATGTAAATAGATCTTTCATATACAAAATGTTTCTAAATATATATAACTACAAAATAATCTCATAAAAAAACTTTTTTCTTTTTTGAGAATATGACAAATTATTACAATATGGAAAATGTAAAAGAATTTGAAAATTGATTTTGGGCATGAGCACACAATTTACTACCATATGGAAAATGTAAAAGAATTTGAAAATTGATTTTGGCTAGAGCACAATAAGTGAACCCAAGAGAAGCAGTAATCATCTCAGGTCAAAGACATGAAAGAGAAGTGAGGTTAATAAGAACATCAGTTAAAGATATGAGAAAGACGTGATGCAAAAGGATTTTACCAAGGAAGCAGATCTACATAGAGGTAAATTGAGTAAAAAGATTCATGTAGCAGAGTCCGAGAAGTTAGATTAAGGTTTTAAAAAGTTGAATTATATGAACAGCCTATATATGATCTTCATAGATCTAATATCTTATAAGTAAATTTATTTAAAGTATGTTGTACAGCATTCAAACTGAAATAAGAGAGTATTAACATAGAGGAAGACACTTAATTATTAAGAGAATCAATACTGATCCTAACTCATCAACAAGTAATTATGCAACCAAGTGTCATGGATTCATGGCCAGAGAGAGAAATGAGCAGTGTGTTGTCCAGGAGGTGAAAGGCCCGCCTTTAACAGAAATCATTAAAAGAGAAAGCACTCAAGCGGAAATCGTTGAGGCGGCATGGATTGGAGCAAGGTACTTCGTGGAGAAATACAAGAGTGGAAAGGGAGATTTGCACTCCATAGAGGTTCAAATCTTTTTTGGTGTGATTGCGGAAGGATACTAGGAAAGGGCAGAAAAATATTTGAAGCAGTTACAAATGGTGACTGGTAACTGAGACTGGGAAGAGAGTTTGATATTGCCTTCATCATTACTTATTAGTGCAATGAAGGCCCTATGTCAGACTTCCGTAGGTCTTTTCAGGATTGCAGTGGACTAATAGGTTGTAAGTACAGATTGTCCCCGGTTCAGAGGGTAGGGTATTGTGGAACATTTTGGGAACCATCGCAAGATTGGGAGTTTGGACAGGTCAAGGTTTTTTCCATATTTTGTATACATAGGCAGTTACTGAGGTGGAGGATGCTGTTTAAAGACGGTTAAAGCAATGGAGAAATTTATGAGGTGAAATCCTATTACAGCTGCTTTAGGTAGAGGACTGTTTGAGGTTACCATGAACTGGGTGTCGCTTATAAAAGCTTTCCTTAAAGTTGCATTCTCTGGATAAACGAATACTCTTGGGAAGATATTGACAATCGACAACCTGAGGAAGAGGAAGCAGTTATAGTTAATTGATCTTCCATGGGTAAATGAGATGAAAAAATAGGTTAATCATCTGTTATCCATTGGCCCCTGGCAAGAGCTAGGATCTGTTTCTTCCGGACCTTTTGGGTAATGCCCAAGTTGATGGAATAGATGCTTGCTAGATGGAGGCAAGGTGGGGCTGTAGAATGGGTAGGACATTTTTTCTTTGATCACTACAAATTCTTCCTTATTATAAAACTCTTTGAAGAGTTTCAGGTGAGATGCAAATATAGCTTGAATAAATACCTTTTGTCTATGCTGCCTGTGCGCATAAGCAGACCTCATCTCACTGGTTAATTGGTGAGATACTTCATGAACATTTTGAATATGTGAAATGACAGCTGTTTGTTTACTTTACGGAAATGATGAAAATATACTCCAGCACCACAAAGGTGATAATGTCTTAAGATCTGGAGATCTCCGCAGAGATGACCATGGAAACCGTGAATAGACCGGGTAGAGAATATAACTGGCAACTGAAGTATTCAAAAACAAGATTCACTAGATATTTGTCGAATGTGCTCGACAAATTGATCAAACTAGGAAAACGAGTACGATCGCAAATTACCCCACCCCGCCCCTATTGGGATGGTTTTGGGGTGTTTAGTGACTTAGTCAGGGACAAGGTGAGGGGATAAAAACCCGTGCAGGTGCGGGGCGGGGACGGATATAATTTAATATATGAATGTAATATTTTAGTATCTTTAGTATTATGCTTTAAGCAGTTCAATGGATATCTTTGCAGTTCAATGGCTATCTTTACTGCTGCTAATTTAATTAATTTCTATTATGTTCAAAAAATGTACCCTTTTTAGATTCATTCTTCAAATAAAAATTCTAACCACATTGGTCATGTAATTTGTAATTAAGATTTCAAGACAATGAGAAGAGTGCATTCATATGTCTAAACAGTTAGACTTACTGAACCAAAATGTAATAATTTGTACATAAATAGTGTTGAGTGTGGTAAAGTTCGGAGAGAAGTGCAAGCAAATAGAACAGCCAAGAGATAGCTTTATTATAAGATGTCTATATCAGAGCATGATAAGAGGAAGCTACTATATAACAAACAGAAGAACTTCAAGCATATGCCGCATATCCCATAATTATGATGCGATACACTGCTCTTGAAAATAGAAAACTTATGGCGTCTATGGACCCAAGCGACAAGTACAAGATTAGAAAGTATTGATGAGAACTACTACATTACAACTCTAGAATCTAGCATGCAGATGCACATAAAATGTCATCGAGTGCCTTCTTAGAAAAAATATTATCACTCAATATTGGTCCCCATTGATCAAAGTTGTTGGGAAGGTGGACTGTGTACACAATAAACATTTAGCATTATATTCACAACATTATTGTGATCATACTCGATCACGCGCACACTTGCACCTGGCACCCCGGCTTTTATTGTTGCACGCCAAGTAATGACACCGCCTAAGGATGCAAAATGATAAAATATAGTAAAATCAACTATCAGGACAAACTAGGGTGCTAGAAGTCAGGAGTCAACATTTGTACCAGGACTGTATGCTTCAACAATTATTACTAATAAAAGCATTTGCTAAATTTCCATATATTACAAGAAATTTCTCTCAACTAAACTTTTGGATGACTCATTGTTGCATCCAGTGATTAATCACTGATCATTATCATCCAGGCACGTGAGATATTCTATATACAAATTGAGTTTACTGCTACCCTCCACGGAAACTTTAGGATGCAACAAGATGTCAAGAGCAATTTTTTTATATTTAAACAGGTTTTGCCTTAACCTAAAGGTGTCATACACAAAAGTAGGAAAATTCAAGAAATAGATAAAACACAAATTAGAAGATCAATTTAAGAAGAAAAGTTGGAACTATGGTACAGTAAAAAGCAGAAAATACGCACCATCATGTTTTCAGATGTCGGTGTGAGGAAAGAAATCCTCGCAGAATCCAAACCTTCCAAGCCAACAATAAGACCGTTATACCAGCGTCCATCAGTGTGTCGAAATCTACATTTCGATCCAATGGAATAACTTTGATCTTCCAGTGATTCTGCTTCAACATCTGTTGGATCGATAGGTTCCGCCTTCACCTCCTCTGAAGTATATTTGAAAGCCTGTGAATCGATAGGCTCCACTTTCACATCCTCAGGCTCCACCTTCACATCCTCATAAGTATATCTGGAAGCTTGTAAAGCTGTATCAACGTCTCGCAACAAGCGTGCTCGTTTCAGGTGAAGAAGCCCTTCCTCTGCATCTTTGATGGACTGAGCAAGTTCCTCGTGAACCTAAGACAAAAAACCATTAACATTTAGCAACTTCAGGGACACGTTAAAAAAATAAAATACACACGTCACCTCCAGATAAATCTTTAAAATATAGTACCTAATAAATTAATATATAAGATGATCTTAAGAAAATACTAAATCTTTTTTAAACTAAACACCATCACCCTTCTTGCTGAATTTTCAAAACTATTCTCCTTAACTCTGGTTTGAACCAAACACACTAAAGTAACATTCGAGGCCTTTAGCAAGTTTATTACGTCCTGAATTTGAGGACTATTCAAGCCTTTATAAAGTGGAATTCTAATTATATATCAGATGCATTACTTTATAAAGAGATGAATCATATTATGTTCCGACCATGCAGCACTAGATAACGATTATTATTATTATTATTATTATTATTATTATTATTATTTTGAAAAGTAACACTATATAACTAAATTCTCAACAAAGCATCAACACCTAGACATGTCTGCTTAACATTCTAACAGGAAGGCGCGATTACCCACAAGTACAAGGCAGCAGCACAAGGTGGCTGATGCAGTACACTGAAGCAGTCATCCTCTTGTTCTTTGTACAGCTTCCTAGTCCATTGCGGATTTGGTGCCCATTATCAACAAATGTACTATCCACACTTAATTTAGACCAATATGTAGCAAGTATATCAAGAAGGGATTGATGCAAAAGAAAATTCACATCAATGCCATAATTCATATTTAAGCATTTTAATATGCACATTAGGGTCTATTTCTATTTGGCTCCTTGTTAGAGTTAGTGAATCTCTCAAAAGAAACAGAACAAGACGTACTTCTACAGACTCTGTACCAAACCAAGTTCAGATTCTCTTACTCTCATTGATTACTCTCACAGGCATTAGGATTAGCATCATAAATAACATGCAAAGATGATTTATCACAAAACAAAGAAACTTATCACCAAACAGCATCATGAAACTGAAAATGTAATGGTCTCGTGCAAAAGGTTCAGCTTAGCCCCATAAATTGTCCAAAACACCAAAATATTTTTTATTTGCACATTATAACTTGATGTGTATTTTATAATAAACCTCAGAATAGTATATTTCAAAAAAAAAAAATCATAACATTAATCATTCAAACTCATAATTTAGTTAATCATACCAATATTGTGTTCAAATCACAAAAAATATCCGCACATAAATCATCAAGCAATTCTTGAACGAAAAATTAAATAACAACACAGATTTAATATATATATATGTGTGTGTTTATATATATATATATATATATATATATATATATATTGGAAATCGTAATTTGTGAAAAGATTAAGAAAGAGAGAAGGCGAACCGTGACAAGCTCATGATTGGTAGGGTCAGAAACTAGGGCTTCTTCGAGAGCAGCGAGTGAGTCTCTCTGCTCCTGTAATTGAAGCTCCAGCTGTTCCTCCAGAAGTTTCTCTTCATTATCCGCCATTGCTTACTGAGAGGTTAGAGAGAGAGAGCAATGAAGAGGAGAAAATTACCTCTAGGTTGTAACATTACAAGAGCGAGAAAGCCAAAAGGAGCTTTTGAAAGCCATAAGCCATCCAAACAGGGCTTAAGTTTTTCTCTCTGGGCAAGACTTGGGTCATATGGGCTCATAAGTTAAAAAGAGATGGGTTATAGATTATGGCTCATTCTTTGCCTGGAGGCCCAAGACTTTTTTGTTCTGGTTCGCAATGGTGGTGTTCGGCTCTTAGCCATACTCCACCAGCGGACACAAGCAGTCGTCTCAGAATTTCAAATGTCTTGATTATATATATATATATATATATATATATATAATTTTTTGTAATTTCCTTTTTTTCATAATTGATTAGTACCAAAACTTCCTTGCTGTCGGACTATGGTGCACTAAAAGTAGGGGTGGGCAAATCATTCAAAAATTCGCAAATTTGAACCGATCCAATTCGTGCAGATCGGATCGGATCGTTACACTCACGGATTGAATTACAAATTGGGTTATTAAAATTCGATCTGATTTATTACTCTGATTCGATCCGTGAAATATATATATATATATATATATATATAATGTATTAGTTAATGGTCATTTAATGGACTCCAATAATGTATTTATTAATGATCATTTAAATATGTGAATTTATATTGATAAATTGAATTACTATGGTTAAAAAATAAACAATATTGGATTATTTAGGAAAAACCCAATTCGCAAATCCAATCCGTCATTCTACGGATTCAATCTGACTTGTTATTCCACGGATCGGTGGCGAATTAAAAAAATTTCAATTCATTGGAAGCGGATCGTATTAGGATTGATGCTTAATCTAATGCGATCAATGGCCATCACTAACAAAAAGTGAGGTGCGAGGTACACCATCACAGGTTGACTTGAGAGCAACATCGGTGCACTGTGTATCACATTTACATAAAATAGTAGGGGTGGTCACAGATCAGATCGGATTAGGCATCAATTTTAATCCAATTCACTCCCAACGGATTAGAAAATTTTTAATCCGCCACTGATCCGTTATTCTACAGGATCGGATCCATGTAATAACGAATCGAATTGGATTTTATCTAAATTATCCATTATTATTATTATTATTATTTTCATAAGTAATAGTATTATTTATTTATCCTTTAATCCTAACCCAATAGATAAAATTTTAATTTATTAATATTAATTCATATATTTAAATAATTATTAACTAATAGAACCTTAGAATATATTAAATTATCATTAACTAATATATTCTTTGAAAAATATATATATAAATTTCACGGATAAGATTGGATTGGACTCACGGATCGAATTGGATTTTTAAAAGTCTAATTTGTGAGTTACGGATTTGATTTTTTTAGATTCAACACTGATCCGTGAGTGTAGCAATCTGATTTGATCCGCTCATCTAAACCGTATTCATAGATTATTTACCCACTACTATAAAATAGTTCACAAGTGCCGTGCACTTAGTGAATATGCAGAGGGCTAGTTGTAGCCCAAATCCAGCGAGCAAAAACACTATAGGCCCTCCAGCGGGCTAGCCAAAACAAATGGGGCCCATTAGCGATTGCGGGCTAGCTCGTGGTAATCAGCGAGCCGGGCCTCGATTGCTATAATTTTTTTTTTTTTTTTTTTGTCTTTTCTTCCTTCAAAACGGCGTCGTTTTGGGCTGCCACTATTTTGTCTTATTATCCCACTCATGCACAGTGCGCCAAACAGTGCCTTAAAAATAGGCACTGTTTGGTAGAATTATTATTATTATTTTTTTAAACCTAAAAATAGGTTATTTTTAGCTCCTTTTAGGAAAAAAAAAAATTAAATAAAATTCATTAAATAAAAATATATTGTTTAGGCACTATTTATCGAAAAAAAATTTAGTTGGGCCAAAAATAAATTCAAAAAGCTTTTGTTTTTTTTTCCTTAAAATTTGTTTTTATTTTTATATTTTTTTGCTTTAAATTGCAATCCTTATTTTCTTATTCCAATTCATTATTTTTAATCCTTATTTTGTAATCCTTAAAAAAAAAATTTATTTGGGCCAAAAATAAATTCAAAAAGCCTTTTTTTTTCCCTTTAAATTGTAATCCTTATTTTCTTTTTCCAATTCATTATTTTTAATCCTTATTTTGTAATCCTTATTTTCCCGTTACAAATATAGCCGTTTAGGAAAAGTAAAAAAAATAAAATAATAATAATAATAATAATTTTAATTTTTTATTATTATTTTTTTTGGAGAGTCAAAATTCGGAGAGTTTGATGGAGTGCAGGTTAATGGAGAGCAAAAACTGCTGATGTGGCTTTTGAAATTGCTGATGTGGATCTTAGAAAAGCTAATGTGGTATTTTTAGAGAGTCAAAATTCGAAAAGACTGGTGCAGATGGCCTTGCATGTATTTTATATAGGTAATTTTAGTGTGCCAGTGGGTAGTGCACCAGCTCATCCAAATCCTACTTGCATAGCACAGCCCGCACGTGCTCGAACGAGCCGTGCCTCGTGCGCACCTATCCTTCTCATACCAATGCGTTTCGATTTTTTGAACTGATCTTTTCATAAACAATTTTTTGCGTTTTCAATGTTCAGCAAAAAAAGAGACGAAAGGATCGAACAAGGATTTCTTCTTCACAGTGCACTGTACAGTTAGAGAGACAGTTTTCTTCTTCACAGTGCACTGTACAGTTAGAGAGAGACAGTCTAGAGTGAGAGAGAGAATGGGGCATCATCACATTCTTCATAACGACCACCATGAATCAGCAGACGGTCTGGCGAATCTGTTCAGGAAAGCGAACCACGATCTCACTGTGGTCCAACACAGACTCGAAAATGAGTTCCAACAAATCTACCCTGACCATGTAACCAAACAACCCCCTTAAAGTTTCTTCTAGGGTTCTAACTAATATTCACTCCCAATTTCATTTCTTGGACTATTTTCGTTGGTTTTTTTTTTTTTTTTTTTTTTTTGGGTATTTCATTTTTTGTTTTGCAGGCAAATCCAATGAAACTCGTATATCGCATAAAGAAAATACAGGAAGATCTATCGTCTTTGAAAGAGCAGTGCCGTCAGCTTCTAGCAGCCAAACAGGTACCTCTTCTTCCATTTTTGTGTTATTACCCTCTGTTTGGTTCCTGGGAAAATGTAGCAAAAAATAGGACAGGAAATGTACGATAAAGTTTTTAATTTACAAGAAAAATAATTGTTTTGTTATTTATTTATTTATTGTTTTTGTTTTTGTTTTTCCTGGTGGCCCAAATAATTGACTGAGTTGTGTTGCGGAATTTTTGTCGCTGGTGCTCCAGATAACTGGAAATCACATATACTTGAATATACTACTACTACTATTATTATTTTTTTATTTTATGTTTTACATTCTCTCAGATTCATTTTTTAAATGGGTTTATTTGTTATGAACTGAATTTGGAGGTTTTGAGAACAACAACATGAATGCGTAAACTTTAAAGCTTAGTTTGTTTCCCTTAATAATTTCTTTCTGAGCTGTGTTCCCAAATAATTGGAAATCACATTTGTTACTTGGATATATTTTCTGAGTTGTGTTCCCAAATAAATGGAAATCACATATGAATACATATTATTAAAATTTGTAATTTCGCTTATTCTTTTGACATTTTCTTAGTTAACAAATGGTGCTCGGAGTCATTTGAATGGGTTTACTGGTTATTAACTGAATTTGAAGGTTTTAAAGAACAACAAATATGAATGCATTGTTTGTTTCCCTTCATAAATAATGGAAAAATAAAAGAATTTTATATGTATATTTAAAATCAAAGTTACTTTATATGTGTATTTAAAAGAGAAGCATTTTAAAAATACTTAGCACCATTCAAAACTTCAGATTATTTGTGGCTTTTCAGCCATCTAATAGTAGTAGAGTTCCAACAAACAATATTAACTTTGATATGACTCATTAAAATTTAGGTGGAGACAAGATGGTATCAGGTATATCACTGTCACACTTGTCCATTAGGGATCCTGGGGAGACTTTGATGATTCAAATTTGATTTTAGATTTTTTTTATTTTTTTCCCCCTAGTTGATACTAGGAATTGTTTGCAACCAAGAGGAGTCGAACCTTAGACCTAATGCTTCACGAGGCACCAGGGCCAAGTTCTTACCCACTTGAGCCAACTCCTTGGGGTTATTTCATTTTAGAATTCTGATGAAACGAAATATGCAGTTTTAGAATTCAACTCTCATAATGAAGTTAAAAGTGATTAGAGCTTAAGGCTGAAGGTTTTAGTACTGGATAGGGCAATGCCATTGATACTTGATGGAATCCTTTATAAGCACCCAGAAAAATTCTGTAAACAATAAAAGAAACTAGAGAAGGTGGGAGTTCTTTGATCTATAGAATACTTGGAAACAAAGATCAAAGTTTCACCATATTGACATATGCATGCATGTTCTTAAACTTCTTATTAAGAAAGTATAGTCGCAGATTGTTCCATGATATATAGCTATATAATTCCTGTGTCAAGAATTATAAAGAGACAATAAATTGATGAATTTGTTTTATTGACCACATACTAAACCGGTGAGAGAAAATGGTTGATAGTGAAGGTGATACAGATGCAACGCATCTACAGAATACTGTTTCAGAATTTGAAGAAAAAATCCTCCTGAAGTTTTTCGTTCACAGGTCTAGTTAAAGGGCAAGATGTTTTACATGCCTTCCATGATACTTGTGTTGAGAAAAAATACGCCTCTTGCTTATTCTATCTTTTGATACTTGAAAGTTACAGATTTAAACTGTATTCCCCATGTTACCTTCCATGATTTTGTTGAATAGAGTAGTGAACTAGAGCTATTTCAGTCATGATGAACTAACATTACAAATATTCTCTTAGCTTTTGTTTTGATTGATTGAATATCTTTTATAAGAATTCAGAGCTTGTAAAATCCCTTGAATGAAATCTCTGTATTTTGAAGTTGTGTTTTACTTGATTCACTTTGCTTGCAGGATTTGATTGACAAGACCAGGACTACCCTAGTTGGGAACAGATCATTACTACAGCGGTTGCAAGCATCCACTGGTGCTCCTGTCACCAGTGATTCTGATGATCTTGCATACACTGATTTCAACCAGGTAGAATTTTTTATGCTCCATTAGGAAAGGAAAGACTAATCATGTAACAATTAAAGGGGTCTTCTTACATGGATACATGTCTGGGCTAGCGTTTTTTCAGTATAAAATGGTTCTTTATCTATTTATTCTTTTAATATTTGTTATATTGCTTTAATTTTTATTATTTACTGATTTACCAGGAGAATGACTATATTTAATTATTTTTAGCATACTGTTCCGAAAGGTTGTGTATTTTCCAAGTGGTGTCTAAAGAATTTGCACCATTTGCCAGCAAGCAACCGAAATTGAACCAATGGCCAGGCTTTCCGCATGAACCAATATCAAGGCAGAATGTTCTGTCTCTTGTGGTTCTTGGTTAGCTTACCAAGTCTACAGTGCCAAGCCTCGCTACATATGATTTTTCCTTCATCTATTATCTGCACACACATGGTTCCGAAGAAAAATTTGACTTACTTTTGATCTTTGACTCATGATATGCAGATCATAGATGAGTGGACTGCTCAAGTCAGATCAGCAAAGGGTAAGGAACATCATCTGTACTCTGTACTTGAATTTTTTTAATGTATTCCTCGTGGTAGTGTTTGACACCATGAGGTGGCTTAGAACTTTATGCTTTCACATTACATTGAAAATGACTAGATGGGTTACATAGATGAGCAGTGAGCCAGTGAGTAGTGGATCCACCTTGCCATGTGTGGCACACTCGCCTCAGCAAGTATTGCCACATGAATGCATCAGTATGGCATCCTTCCAATCACTCTGCATTATCCATTCATTAGTTGGCATGTGAAGACATCTATGGAATGGGTAGTCTCATACAAGTGAGGCACATGGCTTATCTCCACTTTTTCACAAGACCTTGCTATGCAACCCAATGGTCCTTTGGCAAGGCAACATATGTGGAGCCATTACCATTGGACTTCCATATGTGGCAAAAACAAGATTACTTGATACTTAAAGACTTCTCCTCATTATCTTGATAAGTCGCCACAACTATGCACTCCCCTACCCTGCATTCTAGTTGGCTCATATCTCCAGGTTGATCTCTATTACCCACCAAGGCCACCTCTACACGTGCACCCTAATGCATTTTTTCTGTCTGGTTTGTAGCAAGACTTAAAGAACTTTTTGGGTTTCTGGGAAACGTGGTGGGATTTCAGGGTTACACTGCAATCCTCAATGGGATCCTAGGTTTTTTTTTTTGGCTTGATGGAAAAAAAAAAAAAAAAACAGAGGGCTTGCCAATGTATGTTCCTTGTTACGGTCTACAATTTGGTTGATCTTAAAGATATCGCATGTCCTCTAAGGACACATGTCCCTTTGCTTGATACTCTTTATGTTCGCTGTCTCAACTCAAGTTAAGAAAGCCTTTTCCTATCTACATGGGTTTGGCCATATGTTTGGCAGCTTTGGCTATATGAATCCAATTTTTTCCTTTTGTTTTTTCTAAGGTAGTAGCCTCAGTCAAACCACTTGTTGCCATAGCATTACCCCTAAGTGGACCATGTCACTCTTCCTGGTTCACTTAGTGGTCTTCTGTACACATGTCCAATCATTTTAATAAATTTTCTCTAATTTTATTTCCAATCGGTGCCACTTCTATCATCTCGGGAATGTGTTCATTTGCAATTCTATAATTTCTCGTATTGTTGCACATCCATATCAAGATTTGCATTTCTGTACATCCATATATTGTTTCTTCACTACCTAATACTCTTTCCCATAAAGAATGATTGGTCTAATAGCTGTTTTTAGAACTTCCCTTTCAATCTTAGAGGGTTACGCTGATCACATGATATACCACACGTATTCATCCATTTAACTCATCTTATCTCCTAAATTGTATTTCTAGCTTTATTAAAATTACATGACATATATGCAGTTTTCTTCCTATTTATTTCAAATCCTTTAAAATTCTAGAGCTTGCCTCCAAACCTCTAATTTAGCAGTTACCCTTCTTTAGTTTTATTAGATAAACAATATTATGAAAAAAGATACGAGACCCTTGATGCAAGCCTATTCTAATCGAAAATTCACTTGTTTCCCAAATAGTCGTTCTAATTATGATCACACTTCCATCATACACATCTTTTATCACGTCCATATATCCTTTTGTGACTCATTTATTTTCTAAAATCCTCTATGTTGGATCTCTAAATATCCTATCATAGCTTTCTCTATATTATTAAAAACTATATGAAAATTTTGATTCTTCTCTCTATATATTTTCATTAGTCTACTCAATAAGTAAATAGCCTTATTATAAACTACTCCGACATAAATCCAAATTGATTTTCCTACACATTAGTTTCCTGCCCTAGTCATTTTTCAATAACTCTCTCTCAAAGTTTCGTAGAATTACTCATTAATTTAATACCACTATAATTAGCAAAACTTTATATATCCCTTTTATTTTTTATATCTAGTTGCCCCACTTATCAGACAATGTCTTAGTTGTTATTATCTTATTAAACAATTTTGTTAGCCAAGACAAGCCATCATCCTTTAAACACTTCCAAACCTAAGTAGGAATGCCATCTGATCCTAATGCCTGTCTTGATTTAATGTTTCTTAATACATTTTTAACCTAGTACTCTCTAGTCCTATGGAAATATATTTTCTCCCTAAGGTTACTGAGCTTGAACTTCCTAGATGATTTTCATTTTTTTGTCATTCTTTGATTTTATCTTTTACTAAAATCCTTAAATCTCCACTCTTGATCCATTTAATATGATCGAATCTTTTGTTTTTCTCTCCCTTTGTTTAACCTCTTTATATATATTATTCTCTCTATCTTTTGTACCTATCCTTCGGTTGGTACGAAGGATGGGAAAGTCGGTGGAGGAAAGGGGAAGGATGTATTTGGCATCCCTAAGAAAGAGCAGTTCTTCTCCCATTTTGTTTGGTTGAGTGGATGGGAGTAGGAGGTGACACCTTCCATTTTTTGGTAAGAGGGAAGATGAGGTTTTTTATATTTTTCTTGCCATTGCACTCATTATATAATTTGATAATTATTTATGAAGGGTAATAATGTCACTTTACATAATATACAAAAGTTATTCTTCTCTCCCTTCTTCTCTTCTGTCTAATTTTTAGACGGATGAAAAATGGTCAGTCAGGAGGGATGCCTCATCCATCCATTCTTCCCTTCCCACCTACTCTATCTTGTATCAAGCAGTGGAGACTTGCCCTATTCTTCTTCTCTTCCCCTCCCTCCCCTCTTACCAAACGTAGTGCTGATTTAGAATAGAGATTATTGTAAGCTCTGTAACTAGTTTCTCTCATTACTTTTATGATGATGATGATTATCGTAAGCTCTATAACTTCCCACCTACTCTATCTTTTATTCTCGTTTTGCTTTTATGATGATTCAGGCATGTTCATTCCACCACCAAATTTCCTTAGATTATGGTCTTTTTCCTTTTTAATTCTGTCCTTTTTTTTTTGTCTTTTTTTTTTTTTTTTTTTTTTTTTTTTTTTTTCTTTCTTTCTTAGTTGGCACTCACATACACATGCCTCCCCTGAGGCTCGAACCCCTGACCTCCCTTTGGGAAGTAGGGGCTTGGTACAGCTAGGCCACTGGCCTTTTGGTTCTCCATGGATGTCTTTTTATACTCAATTCAAGATTTATACTAATCTCATTCTACACTGAGTTAGTTTCATCTTCTAAATTCATATTGCTTCTTTTAGTATCATATTCTTCAATAATTCTACACTCTCCCCTCTTGAATTCCGTCTCTTAGTTCTTGGATTCTCTCTCCTTTTTTATGGTCCTTTTACTAGCCTATGTTGTGATGTTAAAGTCTCGCATGGAATGATTTTACAGTCGTTAAATGTTAATGAATCTACCTTCCTAGTTAGAAAAAAGTTGATTGGACTCTTACTTAATCCACCCAATCATAAGATTATATGCCATTGTAAAGTCTAACATATCCTTCTTAGTGTCATCTCTCCTAATATGTTGCCACCATGTACCATCTCAGAGCCTTCACAATCTTTTCCTACATGACTATTTAAGTTTCCTCCTATGCATATTTTTATCCTTTGGTCATTTTGAACTAATCCATCCATATAGTTTGTAAAATTGTGCTTTGATATGTTCATCTAGTCTAACTAGGTTGCTAAGCTCTAATTATATTAACTATTTTTTCTCGTAATACAAGTTTGACTGATATTATTTTCTTTTCTAATATCAGATGCGACATCTTATTTTAAATTCTTATATACGATCATCCTTAATCCACTTCTATGTCTATCTTTCCCGGTGTAATAAATTTATATCCCATGTTCTCAATTTCTCTAATTTCTATGTCTATCTTTTTTTTTTTTTTTTCATAGTTGATACTCACACACACATGCCCCCATGCTACTCCTTTGTCATTTGAAAAAGCAAATCTCTATTTCTTAAGAGCTAAGGAGGTGTATTATTATTCTAGTGTGTGATAAAGTAATAGACTTTTGCTGAGGTGCTTTTTGGTACAACCATTTTGACGTTGGACCCCATCCAATACACTGGTTGGTTATATTTATTCATTTATCTGTTTACTTTACTTATTTATGTATTTTTCAAAACAAAAAACTGGGCTTTAAATTTCTGTGTCACTTTTTGGTCCCTTAGAAGGAGCATAATGCAAGAATTTAGAATGTGTTTTGAGTGTTCAAAAAAGAGAGATCAAATTCTGAAGGTGTCCTCAGTGGAAAGCAACTGATTGTTGGAAATATGTATCATTATGTCCATCTCATTTTTTTTTTTTTTTTTTCAATAGTTGATACTCACACACACATGCCCCGATAGATGTTTGAACCCTTGACCTCCCTTTAGGAAGCAAGGACCTGATACCGCTAGGTCACTGGCCTGTTGTTTTTTTTTTTTTTTTTGGTAGACATAATATTTAATACTCCTAATCATAGTGTCTATCAATTCCCTTCTTTTACTGACTGATGTTCCTATATTTTAGAGTCCCTAGCTTGGGCCTACAATCCTGACTAACTTCTTTACCCGCACTCCTCCAGAAAAACGTGGGAACTTCTGCCTACTTTATACAGCGTCTGAGTTCCGATGCAATGCCTCTAAGCTGATGCAACATGTCGATTAAGAGAACGTCCTAGCATTTACTCATATATTTTTAGTATTAGTGTTCATGTTGGTCCTGGCAAAAGTTTTACGCTGGTTGTCAAGGTACCTACTACCTAATGCAACTCCCCTCCTATTTCCATGCTTGGAATGTACTGTGTAAAAGACTAAACATGATCCAACATGTTACTATTTAGCCATCTAATAATAGTTTTTCTATTTAGCCACATTGCCCCTGCATGTGCTCCATCATCAAATGCTCTCTGAACTCCCATGTCCATACCATTACAAATAGTGGATGAGCCACTGTCTCATTTCAAGAACATTTGAATGTATATCTTCACTGCTTCTTTCTCTCTCTAGTCGCCTCGGTTTTCACTCACTTGAGATCTACATTATCCTACTTGTATAGTGACATGGTGAATACTCAAGAACCTGTCCACTGAAATGATTTTCAAAATCCCCTTATGCAATTAGTTTTCTAAACCATATGGCAAAAAATTGAAACAACTGTGAATTTAAAGCCTTTCTGATGTGCCTAATATGAGTCCACTTGCTTAACCAATGTTTTAGTGTTAGTAATTGTGGTATCTCTATTTTATTTATTTATTGATAAATGCGTCAATTACGCAGGGGATGAGAGTCATGGATCGGGCGCTGAGGATATCAACCAGCTGCTCTTTTCAGCAATTGTTCAAGGCAACTGAACAAGAACAGGACAATCTTGACAATCAGCCATTCCCATTAAATGTATATCTTCATTTTCAAATAGATCATTTTCTGAGTGAGGGAATGCTTGTTTTATCTCTCTTTTCTTCACAGAATACGGAATATGGCTCAGTTTATATGGTTTAACTCATTACATAGTGTTCAATAGATCCTTTCTTGTATTTCTCTCTCTTTAATTCAATGATACTCAACTGGATGGTTCAAACTACTACTCTACATCAGCCGATTAACATTTATGTATGAATTGTTAAATGACGTGCATTCTGTTCATATAATGCATATAGCAACCGGTTGTTGGTTTGACTGATTCGTGATCCCTTTGACCCTGTTCTTGATCCAATGTGGAGACAGGGTACGTACCTATCTCCTTCATGACTTGTTTATAGATAAGTAATTCATGGGGCTGATGGAGCATAACAGGAGGGGCTATAACCAACCTTGTTATTGTTGCTTGATGATGAGAACAGCTAGTTGTGAAGTGTTTGGAGCCATCAAGGAAAATGGGAGAGGGAGAAAAAAATACAGGAGAGGATCCTGATTCACTTCATGTTGATGGTATTTGCAGAGCTTATGGGTTGTCACACACACACACATATATATATGATACTATTAGCTTCCGCAGCCAGTTGAACTTATATTCGGTCTTTGGCAATTGACAATGATTGACAAAGCAAAATATTGAAATTTGATGTGCTGTAGTCAATAATGCCTAAACATGGTAATACGGTACAAGCGCAGTTATCAATAAGCAGACTCTTGCATCATTGCTTGACTGTATTGATCATTCTGGCAGCAACAATACCAAGCAAGTTCTAAAATAAATTGTAAACAATGGAATTTTATTTCATTCCGTGAAGTTAAAAAATAATACAACTGTGGGTTATGCATTCAAAATAATTCATGATGTAATTTGTAAGACGGGAGTTTATGCGCCTCAGCGATGTCTTAAACAATGTAAACAGAATCAATCTATACCAAGAAACGTCAGAATGATGGGAGCAGTTTTAACGGATGCGTGCGCAACAACTGACAGCCAGCAATATTACTGGGAGATTGGAGGCTCTTCCAACCACTTTGCACGAAAGCCTGTTCCCTTGCAATCGGAGCAGCATGCTGATCCCTGCCACCCAGAAACATGACTGATGAAAATCTGTAACATAAGGATTCCATGTACAACAGGAATGCAAGCAATAAAGAAAAATATTATGATGAGAGAGCTCTAATGGTCAGATTCCTCTTTCAGCCGTCAAATGGAGATTCACTGTGAGGCTCTCCATCGAAGCAATGAAATCCCACTTTGATAATGTCATGGTTTCAGTTTACCTTTCCAGCACAAATAACACAGCTTGTATTTCTGGATGGCACTTGACATAGCATGTTATCACCAATGATAAAGAAACCAGTACCGCCGCACCATTTGCATTCAACATGCCCCTTTGAGTCACAAGAAGAACAAGCAATAGGACCGGGTTGCTGCATGCACCAAGAACACAGGTGATATTAGGAAAAGAAACGAAAAAGAAGACGAACAATATATGGGTTCAGTAGCAAAAAGCTTAAAGGTGGTCCATTGCTAAAAAGTAGGTAAACCATACTGGATTTCCAATTAGTATTAAATTCGGAAAATTCTGACAAAGCTTACTCCCAAAGAAAGAGCCAAAGAGCCATGTTCTCAGACAACTACCCTTCTCAGATACACACATCTTAATTGTGTCCATATTGTAATAATAAGTTTCTTTAATCTTGACCAACAATTTGAAACGTGTACAATAAACCTTAAACGTTTGGATAAAACATTATTTTTAGCATGTAAAGAAGTATAATTCTAAGAAATATCAAGTAAATTTATACTCCGTATAAAAATATTTTTTAAGTTAAAGATATAGGAAATCCTAATTGGAGGAATGGCAGGTGATTTAAAAAACGAGTCATCAAATTGTGTGTGCATATTTGCATACATATACAAAAACACATATGCAGATATGTCTTTCTTTATGTGACAACAGTGGTTCCACTTAAATGCTTTTGTCCTATATAATATAATTTATCACTTCGCCGTGTTCGTGTCCTATCTTTTAAAATTTGTTGAATCAAATCCATGTCTTTTGTCCATAGCTGTGCTTCTTAGGTCTGCCTACACTTGCAAATTATACTATATCAATATCGTTTTATCGTCATGGTTGTCATCGTCACTGCGCAAGAAAAACAAATTGCTATTCACTTTCTCTAATCTTGCATTGATACGGCCTTAGCTCTTAACTCCGCAATCAATAGTCAATGTGATTACACTCCTACTTCAACAGAATGCTTCCCTACTGACAATTTACTCTTTGGATGCTTCCCTACTGACAATTTACTCTTTGAAGCCTAGCGGACAGGAGAATTATGCTATCCATTTCTAACCCACTTACCCAAATTGTATAGGTACATAATAGTTCACCATCATTTACCAAATTTACTGTATAAAATATCCATAATACCTGTGAAAAAAGTGATCATGTCCATAAAAGAACTACTTTCATAGTAGTCAGACTTCAGAGCAGAAAAACCTACACAAAAACCAACCTCTTTACGCCCATCAACTGCTGCCAGAATAACTCCATCTTCTATTCTGGCAAGACAAGACAAAGCATTAATGGTCACGAGCCCCTTTTTACCATTACTAGTCAAGGAGGGGGTGGTAAAATGCTAGAGTCATGATGGCGCCAATATAATATGGGGCATAAGAAGCATAGGTCATCAAGAGAGATCAAACTGATGGTTTGATAAGCAAACTCTCCTTCAAGAGAATGGCTCATTGAAGTTGGGACATGGTGCAATCCACGAGAAGCTACCAAACATGTTTGCCAAATAGCTCGCCCATATGTAATGAAAACAAAAACGCAAACTCTCCCCAAATCCATCACACCATGGACATCACCCCAGTATAGAGTGGATAGGAGTGCAGTTTACCATTAGTTGAATCCATTAACAATGAAAATGCTATAATGAGGGCGCTTTCACAGCAAACCTACCCCCTAAACCATTAGATCAAGAGGATGATGAGGTCAACTTCTCGATAACGGTTGAGGTGGTGCCACATGATAGACTTACTCTTAAAGAGAAAAAGTACTGATCTAATAAAAAAATCTGACATGTCACTGTATATAGATCAAGTCTGCTGATATGTAAAAAAAAGAACTCCAATCCGGTAAGTTAATAAATACCATCCAAATAGAGTGATGAAATACATGAATGGTACAGATTATTCAAAGTCAAGGAAAAATAAAGAAACCCTATAGTGACAGAATGAATCAACACATTAATTTCCACTTGCACCAAACACTCCAACTCTTCTCCCCCCAACCCCCACCCCCCCCCCCCCCCCCCGCGGTCTTTGTCTAGCATAAACTTTCATTGACTTCAATTACAAAGTATAAGTATTGATAAGAATCTGAGGGAGAGAGAGCTGCAACTTGCAAGAAAGATATGAAATGAAAATAAAAAACCTCCTATATTTTTTCTATATCTGCAGCATCAATTTTCTAGCAGCAAAGAACTTATGGTGAATATGAGAAATAAGTTCATGTATGTTTGTGTGTAATTTTATATAGAAATATATTTGATTGAATCAGATTGATTATAACTCATCATCATTAATCGATCCATTAATTTTAAAAAATAAAATAAAAATAGCTCCATCAGGCATACCGACAAGGTTTTCGAAGTTAACTACAGTTATAGGGCATGCGAGACAGTGGATCTTTCACGGGACATATGGCTTTCTGTTGGTTCTTGAAATCAAATTATGATGCTCATGATCCTTCAACATAACTATTTTCTTTTTCCAAGCACTCCCATCTTTATAAACTCCTCAGCTTTCTTACTTCTGTCACACCTTTCCACATCAATCCGTCTTCTTCATAAAAGTTCTATATCGGCCACCAATTCTCTTTCAACTCTACCCAGAACATCGATTGCCCACTACTTCGCTATGATCATCTCAACATTGAGGATAGTGATTTTGAATTAACTAGATTCCTAGATAGGTTATCTTACGATAATCGTGGTAAAAGATACTAGACTTCTTAAGATTTCCCAACATTTAGAAGGCGTTGACCGAAGGGAGATCGGTGGCCTTCCACCATATGAGAAAACAAGAAACCATCAAATCTTTCAACTACAAAATCTCTCTCCTGCACATCCAATGATAAAAATTAAGATTTCCCCATCAAATTTGTCAAACTGGAATTTGAGTAAACTGGGGTGCAGAATTAAGAGAAGAGTTATAACCTTCATTTTTGAGCTGATCGTGATACACTCATGTCACAAGAAATTCAGCTTCATATTGTTAGTAATGTGAAATAAAATTATATAGTCTTTGAAGACCTAAAGTTTGAGTTCTGGTCCTCCCCGCTAGATGTCAACAAAATGACGCTAGACTCATAAGGCTTGCAGGACAAGCTTCATGCAGTCTACGTTATCTAGACAATCTCTGGCATCCAATATAAAATAGGGTAATAGAATACTGAGAAAAATGAAGAGTAGATGACTTCATCTTGCACATTTTATTTTTAGTTACTCGACTTAAATTCTCAATTCACTTGGTCCACTTTGCAATAAAATAGACTGTTTTGGTTATCATAATAGTTAATACTGGCTGGAAAACTATCCTAGTGCCATTGAGAAGCATTTCCTTACCAGGATTTGAGCATCATCCCACCCTAATATAGTCAAGATGAGAGCCCTAGGGTTAAAATACTTTTTGTTAAGATTCGTAATAATAAGAGGTCATCTGACATAGATTTTAAGCATTCATTTGAAGATTAAAGGGCTGACAATAGGATTAGAAATCCCAAGCCTGGTTCAAGGAAAATCTTCAATAGTATGTGTAGAAGTCAAGTTTTGGAATTAAGCAAATTTGGGCACAGCCACTAATTAGAACTGCCTTCAATATAAGAAAAACTTCAGGAGAGATGTTCTTTGGATGAAGAAGATTGCATGAAGAATCCGAACATGCAAGATTTAAAGTGGCAGTCATGGTCGCATTGCAGTTGGATGAAGAAGATTGCATGAAGAATCTGAATATGCAAGATTTTAAGTTGCAGTCATGTTGCATTGCAGTTGCAGTGGGACAAAACATGGGTGTGATGGATGTTGTTAAAGAGATGCAATGCCAAAGTCATGAATTCAATTATTTTAGGTAGCACAAGTTCTTTTGATATTAGGTATTTTTTTTTTATGATTTAACCCTAAAATCCACACATTGGTAATTTTAATGATTTTTAGTGAATTTAATTCAACCTAAAAAGATAATTTAGTACAAATGGTTATTTTATATTGGTTTCCAGACATTGTCACCCCCCAACCCCCCTTCTCTTTTTCTCTCTGGGGAGGAGAGGGATAACTCCTGGGCCAATGGCAAATTTGACACAACATTTGTTTATGACTTGGAACCTTTAAAGCTTCCAAGCTTTTGAATGGACAAAATTATTTGATATGAGCCAATTCTTATGCATATTTTTGTCTACTTATCGAAAAAAAAGGGTCAAAATTATATCTTTTTAAAATGTAAATAGTAAAATGGCGGATACACTAAAAAGATAATTAAATTTATTGTAACTATTTGAAAATCCAAGAAATGCAAATTTATATGTTGCCAATGACACTTGATTTTCAACCTAGAGGTATGCTAAGATAGAAATGAAGAATCTAAGCCCAAATAAGCAAAAATAACATGCAAAATCAAAATCAAATACCCTATCAATTACTTAAATTAATATTTAAGCCTAAACACTTAAGTCTTTTTATACTAAATTTGTTATAACTAAGTTAGAAATGTGATTTTGAAGACGTGGAATAGAAAATATAAAGAAAAGGTAAAAAAAAGGTTCAAGAAGGAGATTTTTTAATAGCGAGCCATTAGGGGCTATTATGAATTGTAATGACTTCCATCTAATAGTAGGCTTTAGTAGCACAAAGCATTAATTGCCTATGTTACTGGACTCGTGTGTGATGAATTCAGGGGCCTGTCTAAGCGTCAGATCCTTCTAATTCCTAAAACATGGGATACAAGGACACGAATGAAGTAATAAATAATTCTTCCAATAAATCTGAGTAAGTATTAAAAAAGTAAGAGGAAGGGCACAATTGAAATAAAGACATAAATTATTGAAAAATTGTAACAATAAAGTACTTTTATGAGGTAATTTATAAATTTGAAAAACTTAAGATTCTATCGTTTATTTGAATGCGTCGACGGCTCCCGTTCCTAAAGGGGCAAAAGCTAGTGGTGTGTGGGCCAACCCAGACCCAAACCCAACCCAATTTATCACGGGGTTAAATAATCATTGTTATGATTAGGATTGGACTTGAGCTGAAAAAGCTCAACTCAAATTTAACTTGAGAATGGGATTAGATTGAGATGTCGGCAACTGGAACCCAGTCCAAACATAAACTCAAACTTTTTACATTTATAATTTTACATATATTATGTATTTGTAATCATGATAAACCTTTTTCTAATTTATTTTCTTTAAATATTGTTATTGCATATTAATCCCTTGGAGAGTCTATTTCTTGAGAATTTATTCATAATCTTTATTTATTTATGTTCAGTCTTAAGAATTTTTTATGCATAGGAGTAATACAACTCAAGGCTAAATTGAGATTGACCTGCACTTCTGCTCAATTTTTCTAAGCTGAGTTCAATTCAAGTTCAAAAAATTGAATGTGGGTTGAGCTCAGGTTGGTGAGCTTGAGTTGAAGGTCAGGGTGGTTTAGAGTTGGGTTAAAATTTTTATATCTTTAGTAGTTGATTCCTCAACTTGCATAGCTTGCCTGAGTCACACCCCTAGTGAAAGTCCAGCACCTCAATCAGCAACGGGACCACCTCCAGCATAGTTCCGATGATATTTTCCAATTTTGACAATGACAAAAGGTTAGTAGCTTTTCTGTTTTTTTCCCTTTCTTCCTTTTCTTCTTCCAGTTCTTTTCACCAGTTTAGACAAATAGTCGAGTCATACTGGTCTATACTTAATATGTGTGTGTGTGTGTGTGTGTGTGCATTAAATAAGTATATATTATACTCATATTAGTATTAAAGTAATATATTTTCTGATACCATCACTGCATTATGTATAATCATAGTTGATGTTTAAAACCATGACCTCAAGTTAGAGATTCAATTGGATACAAAAGGTGGGGGCAAAAATCATGCAATGGGCAATGGTAGGGTAAGATCCTCTTGCAAACCATATAATGATGCAAGTAAATAATAATAATAATAATAATATATCCTCACCAAAATGCTAGTAAATGATGAAATATTAAACCAATAAAAATCCTTCAAGGTTTTTCCACTGATATTTAATATTTTAATAAATCAGCATTCCCTTATGTTGATAGTCTTGACAGAAATAGTGTTTGAAGTGTGATCAAAATAATATGGCTAGCGCAGTGCACGAGGTTCACGCCACTGTAGGGTTTGGGGCGGGTTAGATGTATGCAGCTAAAATAACACTAACTGAAGAATTCAGACTTCTTTGTGAAGAAGTGTATATGTAATCTGATATAAGATGTGGAAAGGACCAACTAGTTCTTATATATTAATCTTGTGGTCCACCAAAGTGGATTATAAACTTTATTGGATTTATTTTGAGACTTGTAAGAGTGTATCAGTTGCTATGCGAGAGAAGTTTATATCAGGTGTGGGGTCTTTCTCTAATAACGTTTCACTTCTTTATCTCTTGCAAACATCTAATCCAAGCTTCTTGAATATCCATAAGATCATTGTGACTTTTGTATTAGTAAGAATTCAGGTTATTTATTGGGTTGTATATCATTCTTGTAGATAGGCAAATACATCAAACTCGCTCAAAATTCTTCCATTGTTATTGAATTATTTCTTGTTAGAATTCTGGACGTAGACCTTAGTGCCCAAAACATAGACTGTCTGTTTTGCTGTGTGGTTTCGTTTTCTACATGAAATTTACTGTTTTCTCAAAATCAAAATCTCAACACATTTTTTCCTAATACAGTTTCTATTGGCAATTCCTTAAGATATTTAAGTAATCATTTAACAATAGCCAATATTACTCACAAAATCTGGTGCACCCTCTACTCCTATTTTAGCTCTTATACATATTGCTCCCTGTTCCCGGGTCCAATCTTTCTACCCAACATTACAGAATGAAAAAAACTTGAACTGAGATTCCGAATGCTATTCCATTTCCAAAGAAGACTGTATACAGCTGTTATAAACCACTCCTGATGTTAAACCGTCCATAAAGTGTGCATTTGTAAGTCACTCATCGAATGTTCAAATAAAATAAAACTCTCATCATACAGAATCAACGACAAGAGCCCAATCCAAACAATCAATTTCTGGGAAAAAAATAGTTTACGAATGAATTAAAGAATGAAAACCCTAACGAAGTACCTGAGAGATTAGCCACGCTCGTTCCATGCGCTTAACGAAGTTGGAGGAGCTTTCGTAAGAGTCCACCATTGAAGCACGAACAACACAAACCCTAGAATTGATAGGCTTTGTAGAAACATGAACGCGGCCATGAGGTATCGATTCAACACCAATTGGGACACTTAGGAAGCTGTTATTGATCGATTTTGTCGGAATCACAAGTCTACAACACATACAGGTCGACGACATTCCAACTGAGACCAAGGAGGCTCAAACTTAGAGAGAGAAAAATGGCTGTTTAGAGAGAGAGAGTTTGGCGGTCGACGGATGGGTTCGGAAGAGCCGTTCGTTTTTGATGTCTTGTGAAGCAAACCTTTCTGAAACTTCCGCCAGTTGACAAAGAAGATAATCATTGACCCAACAATGGGCCTCAGGGCCCACCTTTTTCAGAATCCATGCCATACAGATTGCCAGTCAAACCCAAAGATATGAACAACACAATTTGTTTATGGGATTGTTTATGTTTATGGAAGATGTGCCACTTAACTTTCGAAAAAAAAAAAAAAAGATGTGGGTGGTCGGTCAAGTTATGATAAGAATACTTAAGCAATTATGTCATAATGGGTAAATTTTTATTTTACGCGAACCACCTAAAAATGAGATAACATTTTGAGATTGGGTGAAAAAATATAGTTGAAAGTTACTTATTTTTTAAACAAAAATATCCCTTCAAATTTAAAAAATAAACAAAAACCTGAAAATAATAAATTAATTTTATTACCCTTTAATATAAAAATGATATTTTAATTATCTTAAAAATTTCTTGAATCAAACACAAACCCAAACCCAAACCCAAACCCTTAATGCTACGTTTGGTATGCAGGAATGGAATGCCCATTCCAAGCATTCCTTTGTTTGGTATGCAACTTAAAGTGGGAATGACCATTCCATTGGAATGAAAATCCATTCGTGGGAATGAAAATCCATTCTACAACTAAACCTATGGAATGACCATTCCATTTCCAAGTAATTTATTTTAAGAAATCAACTTCCTAAAACACCCTCATATTCTAAGTCCAAAAACCACCATTACCTTCCACCACAATCATCTCCGCTTTCACCACCACTACTACCACTGCCTTCTATTACCACCGACTTTCACCATCGCCCACCACTTTCCATCACCACCACCACCACCTTTCACCACTGCTATCGCTACCGTTTACCGTAACCACCACCGCGGCCTTTCACCACTGCTATCGCCACCACCTTCCACCACCACCACTGATACCGCTTTTCACTACCACCACCACCTTCCACCACCGCCACCGCCACCGCCACCGTCACAGCCCTACACCACCACCGCCGCCGCCTTCCACCACCGCCACCTCCACCTTTCACCACCAACGCCACCGCCGCCGCCTTCCACAACCACCAGCGCCACCGCCATTGCCTTCCACCACCGCCATCGCCTTCTACCACCGCCATCGCCTTCTACCACCTTTTATCACCACCACCACCTTCCACCTTCCACCACCGTCACTACCACCGCCACCGCCACCGCCACCGCCACCACCTTTCACCACCACCACTGCCTTCCACCACCGCCACCGCCATCGCCACCGCCACCACTACCACCGCCGCCGCCTTCCACCACCGCCACCACCATCACCATTGTCACCACCTTCCACCACCACCACCACCACCACCGCTACTTCCACTGTTTTCCACCACCGCCGCTGCCTTCCACCACCACCACCACCGTCACCACCTTCCACCATCACCACTACCGCCACTTCTACTGCCTTCCACCACCACTATAGTCACACCACTATCTCCTTCCACCACAACCACCACACTACTGCCACATCCTTCCACCAACACCATTGCCACCTTTTACCACTACTGTTGTCACCAATTTCCACCATTACCACCACCGTCGCCTTCCAACACCATCACTTATACTACTACCACTTTCCACCATCTACCACCGCCACTGCCACCATTTATTTTTAAAAAATTATTAGAGAATATCATTTTGTTAATTTAATTTAATTTAATTTATTTGGTACTAAGAGGGAAATTTTGGAGAATTCAATTAGAAATTTATTCCATTCTAAATTTTAAATTGGTTCAACCAAACACTAGAATGGTTATTATCATTCCATTCCTACACATTTCATATTTATAACCAAACAATAGAATGAGAATGACCATTCCATTCCATTCTCATTCTCATTCCATTCCTACTTGCATTCCATTCCATTCATGCACACCAAATGTAACATTATACACACACTACATAATAGCCGCCACCGCCAAAACCCACACAATCTAATCCCAGCCCATCACCAATCGCTGCCGTCACCACTCACACAATCATCGCCTCTCAAACCCACCACCAATCCACGGCCTCTCCCTTAAACCCAGATTTTGCAGAGCCCCTTTCTCCTCGTGTATATATATACACACAGAGATTACAAACTTTGAATAGTTGAACTAAACACGTCTAAGTAGCATCTCTCTTGTGTTGGGAGTTTATTTTATTCGTAAATTTGATTCGATTTGATTAGGTTCTTGTGTTTGGGTTGATTTTTTAATCTATCCGATCAATACCTTGATTAAAAAAAAGTAAATTGATTCATGTATTCTTGTTATTTAATACAAATATATATTACAGTATATATATATATATATATATATATATATATATATATATATCCTAAGCATTTTGATGACATTTGTCTATGAACTTCAAATTTTTTAAAATTTCATTGTACAATTGAAAAATGGGCACAAGTCATTTGCTTATAATAATATTTTGCCCATAACTCGTTCCAAGACAGCAGCGAAACTGCCGCTGATCTTCTGACATCGACACCGGAGATGATGGCGAAACTGCTGTTGATCTTCTAACACCGACGCCGGAGATGAGGAGAGCCATATAGACGTTGGCCTTGATCTACCTTCTTGATCTGGCGGCGGAGGAGGGATCGGACGACCCGTTCGACTCGTTGTAGTCGTTATTGGGGGATGCGCCACGGAGAGCGGTGGAGGCTGAGGTGTGATGGCGGCGACGGCCGACGACCCCTGCGCCTGCCTCGTCGGTGTTGGTGGTGGTGTTGTAATATATATATATATATATATATATATATATATATATATATATATATATGTTAGCAGATAGAGAGAGAGAGGGGCATGGATGGTGTGATAGGAAGAGAAGAAGAGAAAAACTGATAAGGGCTATTGCGTCATTTTGTAAGGTTTGATATTTTGTAATATATCTGAATTTAATATGGAGGGATAATTTTGTCTTTTCATACGATTTAAGACCTTGTTTGGATGAAATTTCAGAAAGGGAGGTGTCATTGTCTAAAAAATGAGTAACTTTTTTCGGTATGTCCTTTTGCCAAACCTTAAGGGGTGTGGCTGTACTTTACCTTTAAAATTTTATTATCACAATAGTTCAATAACTAAATAAGTAAGTTGTGGGAGTTGTGGGAGCTGAAACACGTGCTCTAAAGAAAAAAAAATAAAAATGAAAATAAAAAATAAAAAATAAGTAAGTTAATACAATATCATCATGTAAATAATTATGTCAGAAATATGCAAATTTTTATTTGGTTTTTTATCCTATGTGTTCAGTAGTAATTGACAGAGATCAATGGTCTCGAGTCAACCATTTCATACTATCTAAATGTTGTCCTTTTTAATTGAGGACTGCTAAACACCATTGCACTTGCAACTGGGTCTGCAGTTGCAATTCTTGTTGGATAGTTTAAAATGGATTTGATTTCCTCTCTTTTTATAATTGTTTCAAGTCACGTGTTTACAAACACGTGAATTATATTTTATATATAACTTTTGATCATGTATTAATCTTTTGGGATATGATTAGATTTAATTATGGGTGTAAATAAATTTTAGTCTTTTGTAATTGGAAGGACTAATGGCACTAATATTATTAAATATTTTCTATTATTTATTGTGTTTTAAAAAATGAGATTAGTCAAATTTTTAGTACTTATTGGCTAACACTACTCCTAACTACAACTTTAGCATGAATGAACAATCATAAGATGGGACTTAGCTGGGAGATTAGGAAGGACAAATACTTTAAGAAAGCGATGTACTCGTATCGGAACCGATACAGTGATATTCCACGGATACTCACGGATAAGTTACCTGTCCAGTACTCTTTAAACGTATCCATAATTTTAAAATAATTTCTTAATTTTTAATATGTATCCGATATTTTTCAAACACTTTTTAGATATTTCGATTGTATATGCAACACTTTTCAGACACTTCATAACACATTTTTAAAAAGTTTGAACATTAAAATGTAATTTTTTCAACAATAATAACAAAATATAATTGTTAAGAAAAGTTAAAATTTTATTAAGTGTCTAGTGATACTTATTTTATGTATTGTGAAACGAACTTTTATGTTATATTAATGATTGCTTTTAGACTCATAATAGTTTTTACAAAAATAAAAAAAAAAAGATCAAAAATTAATTTATATATATATATATAAATAAAATTTATTAATTTTTTTTTATTGCGTATCCTTATTCTGTTTTTTTTTTTTTTTGAAATTTGGTGTATATCCATACTCATATTGTGTTGTATCCGTATCCCTTATCCGTATCCGTGCTTCTTAACTGAAAGATCAATGGGTCAACGACGGGAAGCCAAATCAAGGTATGACTCCCTTATTTGAACAAATTTCCTTATATTACTTACCCTTTTTAATGAAAAAATATAAAAGATTACACGAGTACTGATCAGCCCGTTTGGGATTGCATTTGTAGCCTGTAAAAACGCGTTCAATTTGAAAAATAACTTTCAGTAGTGTTTGGTAAATAAAAAACGCAAAAAAAAAAAAAAAAGTGCGTTTTGATAAAGTTGGAAATCGTTTAAAATTGCGTTGAGTAGAGTTTGGTATTTAATAATTTTTTTTTTTTGTATATAACCCTTCTTCATTTTCATAATTACAAGGCTATCCTCTATAAGAATAAATAAATAAATAAATATATATGTATATATATATAAACTATCAGTACAAGTAAATAAAAATGTTTAGTTGGGACTTTCTCATCGTATAACACCTATCTTACCTATTATATATATATTGAACATTTAAAAATAAGTATTGAAATATTACGAGGACTAGTATTGCTAGCCTGATTTCATTTCCAATCTACTTTCATTATTTATACCCCAATTTTTTATTTTTTACATTTATAACGCAATTTTACATTTACCTTATAAGATTCTAAATTAAAAATATTTTGTAAATTACATTTATCTAACAAATTATAACTTTGGATTTTTCAAAGACATTTGTAATATCTGAAGATTTTATATTTATTTATTTGTTAAGAATA